TATTAGCTGTTCTATGAGCCCTAATGCAGCCTGGTTAAAAGCCCTAGAATGAAACCACAGCTTTTCTTCCTTTTATGGTTTGATCATGAATATATACGCATCATAGCAACAAGCACTCACTCACGGAAACATCAAATTGTTGATATGGTAGGGTGACCAGACGTCCACTTTTTCCTGGACTTTTCCGGGGGAAGCCAGCAGGGGATGGAGCGACTGAACCGTGCTTCCCCCTGCCTGCCAAGCACGGTAAGGCAGGTGGGGGGAGCATGCTGTCACCGGGTGGGTGAACAGCCCCGGAGCTGATGGCTCGGTTTGAATGCCCGGTCCGGTCCAGTCAGCAGCTTAGCCACACAATCATCCTTCCAGCCTGCGGTTGTGATGGCCTTACGGTGGGAACAGCCCCTCGTTTCAGTAAAAGAAGTTTAGCAAATCCTGCTTTGAACTGTCCAAGGTTTTGAAAGCTGTCTTTGATAAAATGCTCATGCTGCGTTCACACTGGATGCAGCAGGCGCAGCAGAAGCAGCGAGTTTACATCTAAAGTCAATGGTTGATGCGCGTCAAGGCGCAGCAAAAGGTCCCGCTGCTCGAGATGGAAAAATTGAAGTTTTGCTGCTGGACGCGCCGCATCAACCAATCAGAGAAGCTGATCTGGGAGCTGGCAGGAAAAGAGAGACACATCGCTGATGATAAAGGGCGCTGTGATCGCTCCTCTGAAACAGTTTAATGACGCATAAATTAACTTAAAATGCAGAAATCTGCCGGCAGAATATGTTCGCTTTTATTATCCTGGTGCCTCCAGTTTGGATTATTTAGATGAAAAACATCTACCAGCTGCCGCAGTGAACCGCGAGGAGGCGACCCGGCCAGAGGCTGCTGTTGAAGGGATTCCTACTGACAGGCAGGATGGTAATCTGGATGAACTGACTGCAATAATTAAGTTTTCAGGTGTATTTTCTCACTTAAAAACATAATAAATCTACTTTATTCCCACTGATCAAAGCAAATATAGCTGCAAGGCAGAGAAAGGATAGAGTAGCTCCGCCCAACACGCATCAGACACACTTTTGCACCACACAGCCAGAGCAGCAAAGCTGCTTCAGCCGCGCGTCAGAACTAACTGGTACAAGCAGCAAAAATGAAGCAGCAGACGCGATTTTGCTGCTTTTGGTGTGAACATAGCATCAGAGCAAATGAACAGCTGAGCATCAAACTTTGTTGGGATCATCTGATAGACAAAAATAATNCCTAATGCAGCCTGGTTAAAAGCCCTAGAATGAAACAACAGGTTTTCTTCCTTTTATGGTTTGATCATGAATATATACGCATCATAGCAACAAGCACTCACTCACAGAAACATCAAATTGTTGATATGGTAGGGTGACCAGACGTCCTCTTTTTCCTGGACATTTTCGGGGGAAACCAGCGGGGGATGGAGCGACTGAGCCGTGCTTCCCCCTGCCTGCCAAGCACGGTAAGGCAGGCGGGGGGAGCATACTGTCACCGGGTCGGTGAACAGTCCCGGAGCTGATGGCTCGGTTTGAATGCCCGGTCCGGTCCAGTCAGCAGCTTAGCCACACAATCATCCTTCCAGTTTGCGGTTATTATGGCCTTACGGTGGGAACAGCCCCTCGTTTTCGTAAAAGAAGTTTAACAAATCCTGCTTTGAACTGTCCAAGGTTTTGAAAGCTGTCTTTGATAAAATGCTCATGCTGCGTTCACACCGGATGCAGCAGGTGCGGCAGAAGCAGCGAGTTTACATCCAAAGTCAATGGTTGACGCGCGTCAAGGCGCAGCAAAAGGTCCCGCAGCGTGTTTGAGCAGCTGAAGCAGTGCGTCGGACGCGCCGCAAACACGCTGCTGCTCGAGATGGAAAAATGTAACTTTTGCTGCTCAACGCGCCGCATCAACCAATCAGAGAATCTGATCCGGGAGCTGGCAGGAAAAGAGAGACACATCGCTGATGACACAGAGCGCTGTGATCGCTCCTCTGAAACAGTTTATTGACGCATAAATTAACTTAAAATGCAGAAATCTGCCGGCAGAATATGTTCGCTTTTATTATCCTGGTGCCTCCAGTTTGGATTATTTAGATGAAAAACATCTACCAGCTGCCGCGGTGAACCGCGAGGAGGCGACCCGGCCAGAGGCTGCTGATGAAGGGATTCCTACTGACAGGCAGGATGGTAATCTGGATGAACTGACTGCAATAATTAAGTTTTCAGGTGGACTTTCTCACTTAAAAAAATAATAAAACTACTTTATTCCCACAGATCACAGCAAATATAGCTGCAAGGCAGAGAAAGGATAGAGTAGCTCCGCCCAACGCGCGTCGGACACACTTTGCACCGCGCAGCCAGAGCAGCAAAGCTGCTTCAGCCGCGCGTCAGAACTAACTGGTACAAGCAGCAAAAAATGAAGCAGCAGACTGACTTTTGCTGCTCTTGCTGCGTTTGGTGTGAACGTAGCATCAGAGCAAATGAACAGCTGAGCATCAAACTTTGTAGGGATCATCTGATAGACAAAAATAATCCATGCCTGTCGAGTCTTTGGATCCTTGGAAAGACTGAAAATGTTCCCCTTTCTCAGGTCAGCCTGGAACGCTGCATTTACTGTATGTCGATTTTGGAGCATGACAAAAGTGATATTAGTGAAATAAGGCAACATCCCAGAGTTCACGTCAACTTGGGGCTTCGTTTGGATTCACCCGTTTTATGGTGGAAGTTTAGAATAGTGGGATTTGCAGAGAAAGGAGGAGTTGATGGGGTTTGAACTTCTCTGTAGGTCCATTTAACTATCGTTATTCATCTATGACCATGGAAACTCGGTTTGCATTCTATGATCCCTTTAAGGGTAAATACACTTAATTTAAGACATTTTTACTCATTTTTAGAATATTTTTGCAGTGGTCCCTGCTCTCACCAGAGAAGCACATGGGACCATCTCCTTCTGTGTTAGCATTTAGCTATGGCTAACTCATAGCTATGTCAGAAGTAATGCTGTTTATTCTGTGATTTGGAACAGATGCTGGACAAGTTGAGAGACCGATGGGTCAACACTGGTCTGTGGGAGAAGCTGGAAGAGCAGAAAACTGTGATCACAGAACCCCGCGGGGGGGCCAAGGGGGATTTCGACGAGCTGCTGCAAACCTACTATGATGCCATCAAGTACTGTGAAGAAAGGGGTAAGGGTTCATTCAATTTTCTATTCAGTTTATTTCTATAGCTCCAATTCACATCATGTCATCTCAGGTCACTTTACAGTTCACCAGATCATCCAGTCAGATTGATTCAAAGTTTTCTATCTAAGGAAAACCAGCTGATTGCATCGACTCATTCAGAGTTTTCTCCTCCCAAGGAATGTTTGTCGTTTTCCAGGCCTCAGCTATTAACGCGTTTCTGTTCTAGATGGTGCACTGCTGATCGCCGTATGCAGAGGTAAGGTCAGCGAAGGCCTGGACTTTACAGACGACAACGCCAGGGCAGTGGTCACCATTGGCATTCCCTTTCCAAACATCAAAGACCTCCAGGTGAGTAGAGGCACAGAAACCCGCTGCTAGTTCCTAAAGCGCCCGCAGCCAGAGGAGAGCATTAAACAGAAGCTTTCAAAGGTTCAATGTCTTTGTCCAAATTCAGTGGCTACATCCTTAAAAAAGCTGCATCTTTGGGCCGACTATGTCACTGCTGTTAAAAACTGGATAGTTTTATTAACTTTGATGCATTACTATACTGGATGTAAAAGCAGAACTGTCACCAAAATGGGCAGAGACGAGGCCATGAGTGGGATGAGCAGAGGGGCTAAAGGATGAGGGACGATGACAGCGAGCTAAAATAAAACTAAAATATTATTGATGAAAACCTGCAATGTTTTCAGGTTCAAATCCTGACTGGCAATGGAGGCGCGTCCCAGTGAGATGGTTTTATGGTGCTCTACGTCCGTTAGTTGGATACCGAAAGTGTTTCTGTCATGTTTAGGCCAGAACACACCAAATCAGATTTTTCATCTGATCCGACAGAAAATCATATCGGATGAGGTTGCGGGGTTTAGCGTTCATTGAAAGTCAATAGGGATGATTTCCTGCAGGGGACAGCGTAGCTCCAACTGATAGAGCCCAGGTCTATTTAATTTGGACTATGCAGCAATTCAGCAGCAATTTCATGAGTCTGACGGGAAGAGAGACGCGGTTACAAAGTAAAACACATCCGCTTTGGGGGAAAATCCAAAATAAAATCAGTTAATCTCACGATGAAAGAGTCAGTTTGGAATCACACATCGTGTTTATCGTAAGCATGACAGACTGGAGCAAAAACAATGAATGAAACATTAAAATTAGTGCTGTCAATCGATTAAATTTTTTAATCGCGATTAATCACATCAATGCCTAAGTTAACTCGCGATTAATCGCATTTTAATCGCAAATTTTTTTTCTGATTGAAAATCATTTAAATACTCTCGATGACATACAAAAAATACATACAGGCTAGGTTTGTGCCAATGTTCTTTTTTTAAAATGAAAACAGGTCACAGACACTGATTTATACCATAGAAACATATGGAAAGAAAATAGGGAGGCATGTAGCAAAAAATAAATATGTAGGCCCTGAAAACAGGCTGATGTAAAAGACAGTCTTTACAGTTAATACAGTCTTTTG